AGCCTTAAAAACCTGCTCTGATATAGGTGAACTTTCTTCAGAATTATCTTTGTTCTCAAGCAACATTGCTACAGCATCCTAAACTACTAAGATAAATCTCTACTACAGGCTTTAATCAGGAAAATTGAATGTCTCTAAAAATATTTTTATTCTGTTCATATTAGATTGAAATTGAATGTCTTTCACCTTTTGTACATCACTGTTTTATTTTCAAAATTTTCTGCTATGGAATTGTTCCAGATTTATGGAGACTGAATAGGGATGACAAATAAATGCAATCTATAATCCTGAGTTGATCCAGAACCAGAGAAAAAAATAATATATAAAAGCACTATGAGGAAAATTGGCAACATTTGAATGTGTATTCTTTATTAGACAATAGTATTGGTTAATACCTGTGTTAGACAAATTGCTAAATTTGACAATTGTATTGTGATATAAGAAAATGCCTTGTTCTTAAGGCACATACACACTAAAATATTTAAGTATAATAGGGAATGCTGTCTGCAATTTACTATCAGATAGATCAGGAAAAATAACAGTTCATATTTGTTTGTGATAAGGAAATTTCAGAGGAAGAAAGACACAGCAAATGTAGCAAAATTTTAATGATTAAATTTGGGTGAAGGTAAGTATATAAAAATTATTTGCAATATTCTTGCAATTCTTCTGTAAGTTTGAAATTCTTTTTACATAAAGGTTTTTAATATCTCTATTACTTGTTACCATATCCATATTGAGTAATCATAAATTATTTTCAGTGTACAAATTTATGTTTATCTGGGCCCATCCTTATATCCACACAGAAGGTAAACTAATGTCTTTTTCTGTACTACTGTGTAGACTTTCCCACATAGGGATGGACCATCAATAATTATTTTAAGAAATAGTTTATAATCTTTAGGGGCAGTTTCATAAACATTTTTTTTTAATTAAAAATTATATGCCTGTACACACAAATATAATTCCAGGGATTCTATGAAGTCTTTTCGTAGATCAAAGTGGATCTGAATAATTGATACATCAAAATATCCAATTTCTAAAGTTATTTTATTATGCTACCTACTAATATTATTATTTATGATTAATATAATGTTTTTGGTACATACCAAAATCAACTCAAAATGGATTAAAGACCTGAAACTATAAAGCTACTAAGGGAAAACATAGGGGAAACACTTCATGATGTAAGACTGGGCAAAGACGTTATGAATAAGGCCTCAAAAGCTTAAGCAACAACAGAAAAAAATAAATAAATGGGATTATATCATACTAGAAAGCCTCTGCACAGCAAAGGAAACAATCAACAGAGTAAAAAGACCATCTAAAAAATGGGAGAAAATATTTGCAAACTATATATACAACAACGGATTAATATCCAGAATACACAAAGAACTCAAAAAACTACATAGTTAAAAAAAGCACAATTAAAAAATGGGCAAAGGAGCCGAATAAATAGACATTTTTCAAAGGAACACATACAAATGGCCAAAAGGTACATCAACAAATGCTGGTGAGAATGTGGAGAAAGGAGAATTCTTCCATACTGTTGGTGGGACTGTTAATTACTATAGCCACTATGGAAAACAGTATGTAGGTTTCTCAAGTAACTACAGATAGTACAGATAGATTTACCATATGATCTAGCAATCTCACTTCTGTGTATATACACAAAGGAATGGAAATCATCCTGTTGAAAGGATACCCACACTACCATGTTCATCACAGTTCTACTTACAATAGCCAAGAGATGGAACCAACCTAAATGTCCAACGGATGACTGGATAGGGAAAATGTGGTATATACACACAGTGGAATGCTAATCCATAAAAAAGAATGAAATTCTCCATTTGCAGCAACATGAATGAGCTTGGAGAAAATTATCTTAAGTGAGATAAGCCAGGCACAGAGGGAAAAATAACATATGTCCTCACTAATAAGTGGGAGCTAATAGAGAAATAAGGAGGCAAAGGCACAGTGGTGTGCTGGACTGGCAAAGGGAAAGGACAGACCTAGGGTTACTGGGGGGAGGGGGAGGGATCTGAGTAGGGGACAAGGGGAATAATTTTGATTTGTGTTGGTGGGCATGCTGATAGCACGGATCTGATTATCACATCTTGGGCACAGGTGGTGACGGGTAACTCTGTGCTCCAAGAATAAGAACAATCAGTTAAAAAAACAACAACTAATAACAACAACAATGAAAAAAAAAGAGTAGTGTAGTCCATGAAAATGAAATGAATTTTCTGATAATGTGAGACTCACCATTTAGCACCAAAATAGTTGCTGGTTAAGATACGACTTCAGAAGTCATGTCTAAAATCCCTACTTTCTGTTTTACTTGATAATATTTTTAAAATAAACTACTCACTTTCCAACTTCTTAAACAGAAAAAAAAGAAACAAGAAAAAATAACGTAAAGGGTTTCAGCACATTTAAATAATAAATAAGGCAATATAGTTAAATGATACAGGTAGAAGAGAGGTGACAGGTGACAATGGACATTAATACAAATTTTTGATTTCATGATAGTGTTCCTTTTCTAAGAGTAAATGTAATAAAATACTAGCAGGAAATTTAAACCTAACCATGATCCTGATTATCTGAATTTCAATTAATGTGAATGTCTGTCTATATACAGTATATTTTGAAGTAAACTTTATTGAAGACCACTTGTTCTGACATAAACTAAGGAGTCGAGTTTCAATTCACATAATACAAAGGATTTAAAGGACAGAAAAACAATCTGTTATTCTCTTCTGTTAAAATCAAGCATTCAGAAACTCTCATAAAAATCTGGCAAGAAAAAATCACATGGGAACCAATCACTATAAAGAACGATTGTCTATTACCAAGCCCTTTTAATTCCTTGCTACTTAAATTGTGGTAACCAGCATACATCAAAGTATGTTAGAAATGCAGAAACTCAGGCCTCACCCCAGACCTACCTACATTGTAAAAGGATCACTGGGTGATTCATATGCATGTTTGAGAGGCACTTCTTTAAATTATATTTGGCAAAGGCATGGGAGAGAAATGGGTTAGTAATTGTATTTTCACACCTAACTAGACATGTCACAGTACTAGGTATACACAGGCTGAGAATCCCTAAATTTAAAATTTCAAAATCCAAAATGCTCCAAAATCTGAATCTTTTTGAGTACAAATATGCCATTCAAATGGAATGCTCACTGGAGTATTTCAGATTTCAGATTTTTGGATCAGGGATGCTCAACTGGCATCTGCAAATATACCAAAATCCAAAAAATCCAAAATTTGAAACACTTTTGATCCCAAGCATTTTGAATAAGGGATATTCAACCTGTACAGTATTATATAGCATTTGCCAGGAACTGTGTAATACTTTTATATTTATTGTCATGTTTAAATCTCACAACAACCTATGTGATGGGAACCTATGCTATTGACATTTTACAATGAGAAAACTGAGATTTTCAGAAGTTAAGCAGACACAGAAACTGGTAGGATATAGTCTGACTCAAAACCCTGTTTACTTAGAATCATTATATGGCACAGCACATGGCTATGTGGAGATTTCAACCTATAGCAAAATATGATGCCAATTTTTGGATGAAGAACTTATAAATTATATGTTAACATGTAATGTATAAAGACTGCAATGGAAAAAAAAAAAAAAACTGCCCTAGATTAAAGAAAAAAAAGAAAAAAGTATAGTGCCTGAGTCTTAAATAGCCTAGGCTTTCAAAGTGCTCCATATCTCTCAATTTGTGGCTTTTAAAATGGTAAAATATGCAATCAGAAAATTTGGATGGGTACAAGTACTAGCTACTCATAAACCAAACAAATTTAACTTTATCCTCTAATGAAAATATAGAGTGAAGTTTTAAGATGAATTCTAAAACTGTGAGTTTTCTGATGATCATATACATTAGAAAATTTTTTTTTTTTTTAAAGATACACGTCTCTACTTTCCTTTACTCTGGAAAGTACAGAATAAGACAGACATGAGTAGGTATTCTTTTTATTTTTCTTTAGTTACAGCTATTTTTTGATAATTTCTAAAGATAAAAGAAGCTGCTCTAGTTCACAGTGGTGGTGGGGGGACCAAAAAACAAGCAAAAAATGAAGAAAATACTACAGTGATTTTCTTATATTCAACTTTATAAGTAAAATGATTAAACAGAGCTGACATTTATTGAACCTGTATTTTAACCATGAATAAAGACTAGCTTTATTCACATGAGGGAGTACAGAACTGTTTAGTGTTGGCTCCAAGATTTAAACCCAAGTAGGATCACTTCCAGTTCTCACAATTCATGCTGCATAACTTTAGGAAGTTTCCTTTATCTCCCAGTATATTTAACTTATTTCAGGTTACCATCCTCTTCAAGAAAGAATATACACATAATTTTCTCTTGGAAATATTTTAGAGATGTATATGATTCTCTCTTTATAGTCACACTGACTTACTGATCTTATAAGTGAGATAAATGCTGTAGGTTTATTTGATCAGTATGTATGAATTATGCCTGTAGTGCCTAGTTTCTAGTTTTTTTATTCAAAAAAAAGGCTGAAAGATAAATTATATTGTAATTAGTTTCCTTGCACCATCTAGTGGACTTACATGACAACTGCGACAGTACTATAAATGATTACAAATCAATCATTTAAGTCAAATTTTCAAACCTATCCGTACAATTGTTCCTAAAATGATATTTCAGATTATACCACAATAGTGCAAAATATTTTTTCTTTTTTCAGAGAGAATCAATTAAGCATGGGTGCTGAATTCATTAGCGAATTTTTAAATCTACAAATAAAATAACATAAAATAGGATTCTTGCAACCTTCTCACAATCAGAGAGAATGAAAGCCAAACACAGGTCTGTCCTTCCCACCCGTTTTCATAAACGCTCTCAAGGAAGCGGCGCGTAAAGAGAAGCTCCGCGAGCCTGCGCGGACCCAGTGCGCAGGCGCGCTGAAAAGCGGAAGCGGGGAGGCGGGGCTAGGCCTGATCGCGGAGCGGAAGAGGCCGAAGCGGCTGGGTGAGGCTCTGAAACCGTTCGGCCCAGAGTCCGTAGCCAGGCGCAGCTCGAGCCCCAGAACCCGGGAGGGACTACCACAAACGGAAGGATTTGGAGTTCCGGGGAGCAATCGCCGCTGCCGCCGCTTCTGCCGCCGCAGAAGCTACCGTCCCCGCCGCCGTTGGACGCGGCCCTGAGAGGCCTCTAGGCCTAGGCGCGGCCTGCGGAGCCCGACGTGTTGCTGCCGTGAGTAAAAGGAGCGCCCTCTCCACAGTCGTTTGCAAATTAAAATGGAGGAAATTTCATTGGCTAACCTGGATACTAACAAGCTAGAGGCCATCGCTCAGGAGATATACGTAGACCTGATAGAGGATTCCTGTTTGGGGTTCTGCTTTGAGGTACACCGGGCAGTCAAGTGCGGCTACTTCTACCTGGAGTTCGCAGAGACTGGTAGCGTGAAGGATTTTGGCATACAGCCAGTGGAAGACAAAGGAGCTTGCCGCCTCCCGCTTTGCTCCCTTCCTGGAGAACCTGGGAATGGGCCTGATCAACAGCTGCAGCGCTCACCTCCGGAATTTCAGTAGCTGCAAGATGAGAGAGTCTGAGAGTGACCAGGACAATAACATAGACTGGTCCTGTGGCTTGGAGGAGTAAGCTAAATAGAAAAGAAATCAAACAAAAGTCCCAGTTCCCCTTGAAGATCCTAGCATTTAAAAACCCAGAGTGAAGAATTTAGGAATTTGGATCCTTTTTTGAGTGTATTACCTGGGGACAGCTCTGAACCCTCTGGGCAGGAGGAGCCTCACAGCCTGGGCACCATGCAATGGGGTGTTGATATCTAAACACATCCGGATGTGCACAAGATCCCTGTATTGCCCCCAATACACAGGTGAGCAGTTGTGTGCCCAGCTTATAAAGCCCTTTGGTTCCTCTGCCTTTCTGTTTGCCTGGTGTCAAGGGCTTCCTGGACAGTCTGGACATTACTGATGATCAGGCTGTAATCAGTGATTACGGCCCCTTATCTCTGAGCTTCTGATTTGTGTTTCTCTGAGACAAATGAAAGTCAGGTATGAAATTTGGATACTAACAATTTGAATTTGGGAAAACCAAGAAAAAGAATTCACAGTCGAATTTGGTAGGGAAGTTCTATTACGTTGGCTCCAACAAGAAGAGAAGTTCAAAACCACCTGTTTCAGAGGTCCAGCATTTACAGTGATTTCAACGGACTTGGGTACAAGGCCTAGCCTTCGGCTGGACAGAGCCCTTTTTCTTGCCTTCCCACCTGATGGCATAGGCTTGGCAAATGGACAACAGGGTTGTCCAGACAGGCTGAGGATTCATATGATCCCCTGGGAGGTAGCAGAGACCTCTGCAATTATGCACTATCTCTCAAACTGCAAGATGCATATTTGGATGTATTATGCCATGGACATGTGTTTGGTGAGGCAGTCATTTCCTACTCTGAGTTACTAATTACCTAGCCAGTTCATGGGTCTGACTTGGTCATTATACTAAGTCACTACCTGCCTCCCACCCCAGGGGCAGGGCTGAGCTATAGAAGAGCATCATGAATGCAGGAGGCTGTGGTTTGAAAACTGAGCCCACAGGGAACCTCTCTCCCAGCTGCCCTTAATAATGTGAATGGGTTAGTGCTAGGAGCCAAGGAGCAGGACGGGGTAGTCTCTCTTTCGACTGTGTGCAGAATCCTGTTGAATGCCTCTGTTCCTTTGGTTGGGCAGTCAGAGCTCTGTTATGGTGAACATCCAGACTGTCAACCACCTTCTCTGTTCCTCACAAGGGGCAGTCCTTTCCACACAGCCCCCCTTGAATTTTCTTGACAACCAGAGCTGTCCTTTTGTTGCTGGAAGTCAGGGAAGGACCTCCAGAATCCCTTGGCTTCAGGGAATGGGATAGGAAAAGATGTGGGAAGTGAGAGCTTCATATCAAAAATATCCTCTTACTCCCTGAGTGAGGGCATAGAGGAATGAGAGCCCTGAGGTGAGCGGGAACGGTGCTGCTTTATTTCAAATGTTTTCTTACCTCATTTTGTGCCCCAGTAAGGGGCCCAGCCTCATCTTTCTGGCCTGGCCCCGTTTTTCTCCTGTCCCCTGCTCCACTGCCAATCTGGTGCAGCTCATACTCCCAGGTGCTGCTTGCCACTGCAGCTTTCACATTGACCAGTTTCAATTCATCTCTTAATGCTCCTGCTTTTGAAGCCTGTACAATTTCCTTTTCCTTGTCCTTTAAGTTTTCAGATTGGTTTTTTGTCTTTTTCGTTTTTTTTCTCCTCTGTTTTTGTGGAAGACTCAGAGGAGAATGTTTCTTCCGGCTCTCTCTGTTGGAATTGGAAACAGGATGAGAACTTAATTTTTGTATTTAAAAGGTAGTGTCATGCCTAAGCATTTTTCCTCTATAGGACTGCCTTGCTAGTATCCTCTCCTGCTGTGTGTTCATGAGGAGTTATATCTTCCCATCTCCACTTGGATACTGCCTTTTAGGACCTAAGCAGAAGGCTGACGTAAACAGGGATGGAGTTGGTTCTTACCTACTTTCTCTAATCCTTGCTGTGCATGTATCCTTTCTTACCCAAGAAGAAACTATTTGGAGTATATGGAGTAGCAGGTTAAGGGAATCATAGAGGTTGGGGCCTTGAGACTATCTTATTATTGCCTTCTCCCCCTAGAGTTGTCTGGGGTTGGGACCTAGTTTCAGACAGGTCTTCAATTCAAGAATTGTGATAACCTTTTAAAAATCAAAACTTGGCAGGAGCTAACATAAATTTAGGTTATCGTTGCCCTTGGCTTTTTGTAGACAAAGCTAAGAGAATGCAGAGGGAAAGGAGGGGTCTAAGTGAGACTGTTCTACTTCTAACAATGTCTTGAAAGCAGGATGAAAGTAAGGAAGTAAGGCCATGGTCCACTTTTCCTTCAGATGGGGAACTCAGATTGTGACATTACTGTTTCCTTTCTGGCCTTTTCTCCTATTGATTAGAAGAGGAAGAAATGGAAGTAATTTTGAATAATGGTTTTTTCACATTACCTCCTTCTTAGTTATTTTTGTGCCCTCCCACCTCCCCACTCCCACCATTAGGGCAATAGCCTCCTGCCCTGGATGGGCATAAGTTGGGCTTGGTCCAACAAGTGCCCTGAAGGAACAAACCTTTTTGGGGAGAGAAAATGCTCCCTACTATATAGTTGAAAATGGCTAGGAACTATCCCTTTCCCTACCTACCTTCCCTCTAACAGCAGAATTCCTATCCTGCCCTCCTCAATTAAGTGTGTTGAACACCCTCTTATCTTATGTATCTTAGTGTGTGTGTGTGTATGGGGGAAAGGGGTTCTTTAAAATTTCTGTGGTTTGTGGCTTTTTCTTACATACATTAGTACCCACCACCGCATGCCCAGGGCCACTGCCTGGCATTATCGCATGCTGGAATCATTGGGGGAGGGTAGCGATGCTCACCACTGTTTTTTGTTTTGGAGATTCTTATTTTTGCATAAGTAGTTCATCCTATACAGATAGCTGACTAAGTGTGTATTTTCCTTGCCCCTAAGGCTGCCTGTGTGAATAAACTGCATCTCCCCATTGGTAAACAGTAATAAACAAAATTTGCAAAAATGATTTTATTTGGACTCTGTATTTTCATCTGTTGAAATTGCACATATTTTTCAGGCATTGAAATAGCAAAATAAATGTTGAATCGCTGTTGAATCTTAGTACTTTCTCTCAAGTGAGAATTTTATCAGAGTAGACACAGGAACTCTGCCCAGCCTTTTTTCTCCATCTGGTCCTACAAATTAAGATGTCTGCAGTGTCAGTGAAAGAAACAAATTATATGTAATATTCCCTTTTCCGTATGAAGTAAAAAGGTGGTGAAATAAATACAGTTGACCCTTGAACAACATGGGTTTGAATTTTGCAGGTCCACTTACGTGTGGATTTTTTCAATAAATACAGTACTGTACATGTATTTTCTCTTTAATATGATTTTCTTAATATTTTCTTTAGCTTACTTTACTGTAAGAATAGAGTATATAATACACATGGCATAAAATACGTTAGTCAACTTTATGCTATTAGTAAGTCAACAATAGGCTGTTAAGTTTTGGGGGAGTCCATAGTTATACTCAGATTTTCAACTGCATGGGGTCAGTGCACCTAAACCCCACATTTTTCATGGGTCTGCTGTATAATCCAGGCCTGTCACTAAACCAACCACTTGGCAATAAGACTTTTAGCATTACTCCTTTTCATGTTTTCTAACTATATTATTTGATCTTTGTATTTAAAAATAAACACATTGCATACCTTTTAACTTCCTATTTTTTTTTTTTTTTTTTTAGCATTTTAACTACAGCATGCAGCATCCAATCAGGAATCTAATAAATGGTTATTTGATGCTGGCAAAGATAAAGTCAAAAAATGTGTGCTGAAGTAATTAAGGATTCAAAAAGAACTTTCTTTGCACACGCAATAATTAGTAACATTGTCTTTCATTAGGACCTGAGGTGCTTTAAGGTGTTTCTTATAATTTTTTTAAAAGATGTTTTATGAAATGAAGAGAATATATTAATATGCTAAAAAGCACAACATTTATTAAACATCTTTCGACATTAGCATTTGAAATAATTATGGTTAACAAATTGCCGTTGCTCAGGTCAGCTAGAATTTTCATCAGGCTTTGGAGGTTTTACTCTGCTCTGGAAGGTACAAGCTCTTTGATTCTCATTCACGTTCCAGCTTTGGAGGAACATATACAAGTGATGCTCTTGTTCAAAAAGATATTGCAGATAAACTAAATCCTGGGGGTTGGTTGGTTGGTTGTTTTTGTTTTTTCCATTTTTAAAAACATTTTCAATCATATTACTTGGGCCTCACTGGAAATACGTGAGCTAGAGAGAAAATATTTGATTTTAAAAATAAAAAATATGTCCAGCAGCAGTGACATGCCCAAGTTAAAAAAACAAAAATCCAGAAATGATAGAAGCAAAAGTAGAATGCTGGTGGTGTGGGTCCTAGGCCAGTGCTCTTTGTTGAGGCAATAGAATTTTTAAATAGAATGAAAAAACAAAACAATATTTACGAACAACTTTAAAAGAACAAATTTGAAGACAAAAGAAAATATAATATTGAAAGTGACTCAAAGAATTTTTAATATTTTTAATAAAATACATCTATAGCTTTTTAAAAAAACCCATCCAACCTCTATCCCAATATACACATAAAAAACAATTAGAATTTTACAGACAATAGAGCAAAGCAAAAAACTATATAGGCTACATATATTATCAAGACAGATAAAAAAAAATGTTGGCAAACCAATTCCTTTAAAATACCAAAAGTAAACATCAAGTCAGGTTAATATAAGAAAGCAAAATTTCAACTCAGAAAATCACATTACTGTTAGGGAAAAAAAAAATTTTAATTTCAGCACATACAAAGAGCTTGATAAAATTCAATAGCAATTATTGTTTAAAAAAACAATATAGAAAAAAGAACTAAAAGAACTTTCATACACTAATGAATGATATGTACCAAAAATCTACAACAATTACTATGCTTAATGGGGAATACTTTGAAGCCTTCCCTTTAAAAGCAGGAATGGAAGAAACAAAATTCTCATTGTATTTAGATGATATCTATATGGATAATGTTATAGAATTTACAAACATACCACTGGAAGTAGTGAGAGAAGGCAGTTAAGTTGCTGGATATAAGATGAATAACCAAAATCAGGTACTAGAAATTTAACAATTTTGCATTTAGAATGTAATACAACAAATTATAATGGTCCCATGAAACAATATAATAGGTGTAAAAGTTTAAAGAGAAAGTAATAAATTTTCTTCTAATCTGCTGAAAAATTCTCAAATAAATGGAGGGAAATAAGATATTCATAGATAGAAAGTACAGTACCATTGCTCCAAATATATGAATTGAAAGCAATCCGATTAAAGTGCAACAAGATGTTTTCATAGAACTTGACAAGCTACTTTTAAGAT